TAACCTCGAAGTTATTGGTAACGTTGGGTATAAAGTTTATTGGCTGGTCGTACTCAATTTCTAGAGAGACATGATCCCGGCTGACATGAATTCGCTGCGGGAAGGGTCCCTGGAAGGGGATATGCCGGTAATATATGATGGAGATGATGCCGGCCAGTAAACGCTGCGCGATGTCTTCTTTGTAAGGCGGGAACTGCCTGTGAAAACACAACAGCTTTTATACGCTGGTCAGCGTAAAAGGTGATGTGATGCGTCATCAGTACACTACGTTTAACGACATTAAGGACGAAAATCACAACAACGTCTAACTGAAGCAAAAATCCTGAAAGTTACAATCATCAGTAAATTACCCTTAACAATTCACATATTAAAGGTCACATTCCGTGTAATTATCAGTAAATACTTTCTAAAGAGTTATATATAAAGGTCACACTCCGTAATATAACTATCAATAAATCTTTTCTAATGAGTTATATATAAAGGTCACATTCCGTGTAATCAGTAAATACTTTCTAATGAGTTTTATATAAAGGTCACGTTTCGCGTAGTCAGTAAACAGACAAAGTCTGAAGAGTTAAACATTAAAGGCACGTTGTATGTAGTCAGTTAATTACGGTGAATGATTGCAATAGTATTACAATACGATGGTCTTACGAGCCAAACGGCGACTCGGGATCCGCCAGATCCATCGCCGACGCCATGAAGACGCGCACCAGCGCCTCGTTGGGCACCTGCCCGTAATCCGTCGTCTGTTCCCACCGCAACCGGGCGGTGGCTCCCGGTGTGTTGTCCGCATTCCTGGTGCCCAGCTGCACGATAGCGAAGGGCAGGGCAATGCCGCGGTAGAAATGATCCTGCCATCCCTCCACCATGGCCTGGAATAAGCAGCCGTATGCGGCGGTATCGACGGCGGCATCCGACTCGCCCTGGTACCAGATGACGCTGGTCAGCCGCAGCTGCTTCAGCGGGGCAATCATGGCGTTCCACAGCTTGGAGTCGCTTGCCGGCTGGGGCACGCTGCCTCCGCACTGCCCGATACTCCCCGGAGGTGTCCAGGTGCGGACGGGAGAACTGGCATCCTGGTAGGCGCCAATCAAGCCGATCGGAGTTTCGCCTAGTCGATCAATTACCGTAATTACACCAACGAATTAGCGAGAGTTTCATTTCGCTGTCAATGTATGTACCAAATCTTGCCCGAAGATCTTCGTACAAGCGCCGTCCCGTCGTCCAACACAGTGCCGAAAAGTCCTGCAGTGCAGCTGGGCTCGCCACTGTCCAGTTGTGAAGGATGCGTGGCTCCTGCAGCTCGATGGAGGACGATGCCGGTGCAATGGGCAGCAAACGAATCAGAGGAAATTGTGAGGATGCAGCCAGTTCTTCCGAACCGTTGAACATCTGACATATTATATATACCACAATTACTATTCATTGTTGCATTAACTGTCGCTGCATCCCAAAATGCAAGTGAGATAATGAGGTCACAGTGAGTGGCAATGCAATAAAGAAAAATACTAACAATTTCAGTTGGAATATGTCGCAGTGAAACAAGTGTTCGCGAGTGTGCCAGAATTTTGTTGGATGTATTCTATATTAACGAATTTCGTCTTAATAAATTATTATTAGCAGGATGCTAACCTTGGCCACCGGAAACGCCATGTTGGCCTCACCGCCGCACAGGAACACTTCGCCGAAATAAACGTCGCACAGACCGACATGAGCGGTGTAGTTGCCGCGCTCTGTCTGGTAGACGTCCATGTGAAAAGGTCCACCCGCTAAAGTGGCCCATACGGACATTTTCCACATGCCGGCATCTAAAGAAACCAAACCAAACAGACATTATTGTAGTCAAAATCATATCGATACCAGATTCTCTAATCAGTCATCAGCTTCAGATGACATTATGTACATGCGCTACAGAATCGGATACGTGCGTGTGCATCATTCTCGTCGAAATCTTACATAATTATTATTAGTTTTACAATCTTATTCCGCCGCTTCTCGGCAAGAAACGTAAGAAAAAAAATGTAAGAAAAATACTACAGGTACGGAGGAAGCTTTGAAAGACGCTGGATTTTATAAAACTATCAGAACTGTATCGCAAATTGAATCTCGAATTAGGAGATAATTGCCAAGAAATAAAGACGTAGGAATATAATCTACTGATAAATGGTATACGTATGTATGTGGCATGTAGTAATATTATGAGTATGTACAGTAGTACGGTTCCTATTAAATTACCGCTCACAAAGCGGTGGTAATTTCGTTGCTAAAGCTAAACCCAGTAAAATTACAATAAGTAAAGAAAAGAATTTTATTGTACACGAAGGATTAAAGACGGGCTGGGTGGCGCCACGCACTAGAACACACCATTAATGTCGGTGGACAGTATGTCGCCGAAAACTGCAACGTCCACGCCTGCTCCAGGCTTTCCGTAGCCCCACAACACCGAGCCAGGACTGTCAAACTCCAGCACCATGCCATCCTGGAAATAGTTGGCCAGCCGGAACGTAAACGTCGTTCCGCCGTGATTCTTTAGAAGAACCGTGCGGACGGGGCCACTGACAGTAAAATGGTCAGACGAACCCAAGCACTGGAACCTTTCATCATGCCACCGAAATGATACTGAGAAGAAAATATTAAGGATGCCCAAATTTGCAACTTATCGCTTATACTACGTTTGGGTTTCTTTGGGATTCAGTACTGCTGCATATAAATACGCGGCTAACAATGTAAATAAAAAAAGAGACTCGAATTCAAACGCGTTGTGGTCTGCGATAGAAAGATCCTGGTTCCACCCAAAACTACAAACCGTACTTTGCGCAGGATGGGGATATTGTATTCAGAAGTTTCAAACACGCTAATTGTTGCTGATTATCTAAGTATTCAATTTAATTCCGCGATGGAATTTTATTACAAACCTCTTGTGCAAGTTACTGTATACTGAGAAAATAACCGATTACTTGACTGTATGTACCTATGAATGGTATTGGGTCAGAGCAGATTTCATATCCTGTTTTGCTTGCTACCAGTTCTATAACGCCACCTGGCTGAGCCGTAGTCGAGCTTAAATTAATAAATTAATATCAATGTAAATAATATAACCCATTTAGGATGATCTTTATAACATTAAGTACCGGCATCATTGACCTGATTTTTTTATCAGTTAATTTATTCAATTGATTAATTAATTATTGATTTAAATTTACTAATTAATCTAAAATTAATTTGTAAAATGCAGCCGGATTACAACAACGCGTACCGGCATAATTGACCTTTCTGTCCTTCTTATAAGGGATTAAAGACCGGCTTGCATATACAGTCTGTACATTAATGGTTGTTTGTGGATTTACTACACAGTGTTGATATAAAGATCACGCGCCGGTATAATGATACGACGAGGGTGGTTATTGTTCGGCTGACCTTTGTAGAAAGAAAACAGTTTGTGTTGAGTGCCGGTATTCTGTTGAAGTAGGGTAAAAACCGGCGCTCTTGACACCTCCATCGATCGGCCTGCTCAACGAGGTCTGTGACTATACAGACGGGAATGATCGGCATCGATATATGCCGGTATAGTTAGGCATTTCAGTCGGATCATTCGCCCGGCCGTATCACTCATCCCTTCCATCTATCCATCGTCACGATACATCCGCCAACTCCGGCTGTTCACTCGCAACGCGAATTTATTCACTTTATTCAGCACGTGCTGCGCAGCGAAAGAGTTCTGCGAGTTTGCGCCCAACTAACCGGCAATACTATCGATCCATCGGCGTTTCTCGCAGCTAGACGAGCAATGTCTTCGCCAGAATATGAGTCAATGCCAATGTCGAGCAAAACGGCGTAGCTTTGTAGTCAGCCAGCCGACGGGCAATTTCTTGATGGCTGGTTATAAGGAAAAGCAGGCTCCCATGGCGTTCATCAAGCGGCCTTAACTTGTCAGAAATCAACCCGATATCGCGGTGCAGCATCGCGGCTTATTAATAGACACCACGAAATACTATTCAACAGCCGGCTGAAAGCAGCTACGTTTGTAGTTTGTACGTACAAAGCCGGATATAAAGTGCATACAGAATTTTAGCCGTCTGTCAAGTTTAAAGCCTGTACGGTCGTACGCACATAGCCGGCTTTAAAAGTTGTCGGTCAAGTTTAATAATAATTATAGCCGATACGATCATACGTACGTACAGATGCAGCTGATCACTGACATAGGTGTATTAACCGGATATACATCCGCCCACGTACAACGGTATCGTAAAACCGGTTTTTAGCGTACACAACTTGTTTAATCTATCAAGTTTTTATATGGCTTGCAGTACGTAGTACAACTCTACTCTCGTCGGCGCTCCGCTGGCTCCTCTCTTCCGGTGCGCATGTGAAGTATACTCCGTGGTGTCACGCACACTTAAAGCAATTATACTCCACTACCCTCACCTGCTCCTGCTCCCGTTCTCCTGGCTTTTTCTGCTGCTGGCGGTTGCCCTGTTTGTATAACCTGATTGCAGTATATCGGATTGCATAGAGTTCAATACACATATACGGCTTCTGCACCTTCCCGTTAGATTCCCGTTAAACCCGATTCCCGGACTATTTTCCCGGCCTTTTTCGCAGCTTCTCCGTTTCTTGGTCCGCGGATTCGATCGCTTCAGTGTTGCCTATCGATATAATTGTGGGCCTGGATTTGTTTGGTCTGGTTGAATTATTTTCCCGGGTCCTTGGAATTAATTTAAGGATAACATTCAATTGTTCGCGGGACATTATGCAGAACCTCGGCAGTGTTGTTCTGGCCTTGTCCGTCTGCTTCTTGGCCGGTGAGTGCTTGCCGTACTTTGTAATTTATTCAGTAATCTGAACCGCACGTTGAATAATCTGCACTTTCCATCAAAAACATGTGCGATCAGCACGCGTGTATTTTTCACTGGCCGATGAAAATATAAAAAAGATAACAAAAAGGCGAAAAAAGCGCTGATGTTAATAGTTTTAAAATGGCCGATTAAAATACTAAAAAAAGCCAGTAAAACTAATACCGAAAAATTGCATTTTATATGCACTATAAATTAATGCGTAATTTGGTTACATATTTTGCTAACGATAAATCAAATAACGGCGTACTGTACCGTATTATATGTATACAACACAGAGCTGTGTACACTGTACGTCGCCCACATCCGCTACTGTATAATAGAGTGTTGTAACTCCAGTGTACAAGTATACAATCTCATGTATCGATTGCTGTAATTTATACGTGCAATGTTTGTACATCCATTATTGATTGTCTGTGTACAATTTCATTATTCGGTTGCTGTTTTTTTAATACCGTGCCGGAATACGGGCTGAATTTACCAGCAGGGAATTCGAGAATGAAGATTTTTTTAGCTGTGGTCACGTGGACAATTATCGATCGGCCTTCGAATACCTCACCAGAAGCTAACTTTCGCTAATATATAAGGAGAATGCTTCTGCTCTGCGGCGGTACACGTTCGCTGCATAGAATATTCGCTGATTACCATTAAATATTCCTTCGCTGATTGGCAGATACTCTGTTCGCACCCTTTTTTAATTACGAGTATCTTCTCGCTATTTGCTGCAGACCCGCCGAACCGGTTTCCTACAAGAGTGCAACTTAAAAAAATCTGTACAGATATTATGCTGCTGTAAAAAATTGTACGCTCTATCGCGCCTATGAATAACTCAATTCAAAATTAATTACAGTATGAATTATGACGTGAATTAATATCGGTGCATGCTGTCGATAAATGTACGTACTACTGTATTTGCTGTAAATTATTTTAACAATCATAAGAAAAGAACCATAGTATGTACAGTCTGTACATGTAATATTATTAAGCACATAATGTAAAAATAAATTTATATGTAATTAACCGCTGGATGTACTAATAATAATTCTGCGTATATGTGCAGCGTCTTGGAACATGTGAAGTGCATAATAAGCCGTAATAAAATGGGCAATTAATTTGAAATTTTAGTAAGATGTAGCGCTTGTTACGGCCAATATTTTTATATGTATACCAGATAAATTTTTTTATGGTGTATAATTATGTAAGTACAATTTTTTTTAATTTTCGACTGAACTTTTAAATTTTTTTTATTTTGTGTTTGTTTATATAAAATTTTTATTTTGTCTATTTACATAAAAAACAGTTTTATCTTATATGTGTTTTCTGTAATATATAAATTTTGTAAAACGATTTTATATGTATTTTATACATATGTACAGGTAATTCTGTAATACTTGCATAATAAAACAGCTACTCGCAGCTCATATAGCTGTAGAAATATGGACGAGTTATTGTATGTTGAATTGTTGACAGGTCGGACGGCGGCGCTGACTCCCATTCCGGTCAACAGCACCGACTTTTGCGCCAAAGGTATGTCTCTCTCTTTCCACGAGATTCCTTTGTATAACACGCGCTTCGCTCGGTGTGCAGACGGCGTGCGGCCCGACACCCCGGCGGTCCCGGCCGCCGGCCCCGCGACCACCCAGGAGCCCTTCCCCACCTTCAACTGCAACCCCATGACCCAAGCCGAATGCGACAACCTGGCGCTCCTCCGGTAAGTAGCCCTTCCGGTCACCGGAAGTCACCGCTGACTGGCGCTTGTCTTGCAGAATGGACACCTGCGTCGGCGCAAAGGTCATCGACCTGGACCTGCAGAAGGGCGCCCGCCGCGAGCTCTCCAACCTCGGGCGCAACACCAGCCTGGGCATCCAGAAGATCCCCAAGGACCGCGCCGTGACCTTTGGCATTTCCGAGTCCGCGCTGACCGTGCCGGAGTTCACGCAGGGCGTCGACTTTGCCACCCTCCCGGAGAACATGTTCCTGTCGATCGCCGTGACGCCCATCGCCAAGCAGATCATCAGCTTCACGCTGTACAACTGCCAAAAAGTCACCTGCACCTCCAAGCTGGCGTCGCTGGCGCTGTCCAACCTCCAGAGTTTCACGCTGGACGGCTGCAGCGAGTGGGTGCATCCCTGGCTGAAGCGGGAGGACTTCGCGGCGTCCCCGCGGCTGCGCATGGTCGTCATCAGCCGGTGCGTGCCCTTCGACCTGGACGCCTTCACCTTCACCAACCTCCCGGACCTCCAGCTCCTGGCGCTGGACAACCAGGTGACCTCCTACTCCAAATCCTACAGCGACGCCGGACTCCTCCACCTGCGGAACCTGCACTGCGACTGCAAGTACGCTTGGCTGCGTGACCTTTTCACCGCCAACCCCGGGTTGCTGGGGGAGCGGGCGGCCGGGAGTGTCTACCAGGTGTGCGACGCCGCGAACCCGGCGCTGAAGAAGGAGGACGTCTTCGTGCCGGTCAACTGCAAGAAGAACCTGACCTCCAACCCGGCCAACTACGACTGGAAGCAGACCGCCTACTCCATCAACGCCGGCGACCACCTCCGGCGTCCGGAGGTCTGGGTGACCTTGGGGGTCCTCGTCGCAGTGCTGCAGCGCTTCGCCTAGATCGCCTTCATCCCGGTTGTATTGTTGCACAATTCTCGCCCATCTTGCCATTTAAATCAACACAGTTTTGCTCTTATTTTGTGCTGTTACTACTGTTTTCTCATTGGTAGGTATGCTTGTTGTTGGTTGCCGGTGATCTGATTAATTACTGACTGCGCGATTTATTTTCACGGGTTTTATTTGGTCTTTCGCGCATCGCTGTGGAGAGCAATTTACAGTTATATACACGTTGTTTTTCGCGATAATGGTTTTATGTGATCTGCTATTTTTGTTTTGTGAACAGAAAACAAATAAACTTGTAAAAATACCTATTAAACAAATAAAAAAATACCTATTAAATACCTATAAAAAATACCTATTAAAAAAATAGAAAAATACTTCTCTATATACTTAGATTAAGAATTCTTTCCTCTTTCAAAATAAACATTTGAACAAGATATCCTACTCAAACTGCTTTCTAGAAAAATAGAATCTGCTCGGGACTAGGTGTCAAAATCAGAAAGCGTCGCAGTATCCTGACGGTAAAAAACAGCAAATTTCATGAAAAAAATTTGTGGTACGCAATGCAAACTGTTTTGATATCTAAGGCGCGCACGACTGGCCATAAAATGTGCTGTTTATCGATGGGAACCATCATGAATTTATAAAAGCGCAACGGCTGAAATAGGGGAATTTGGGTGTCTTGTGAAGGAAAAATGTTTAGTTTTACCCGTGAGCATTTTCATAATGTCCTACGTACCATCACAGTAATATTAAGTTCTAAATTTGCAGTTGGCACTATAAAATGTTTCGTTACAAACACTGCCAAACCGGAAGTGGCGATAAAAACAATGATTTTCGAAAAAGATGCTGAAGAAAGTGCTGAATTAGCCTTCGCCATTCTGTTTTTCGTTTTGCAAGTTCTTCTTCGATTCTTTTGACTCTTATTTTCATTAGATATTTGCATGATGGGTTCTCCAGCAAAAATGATATCACTTGTGTATAACTTGAAATGGCAGAGAGACAGAACAGCGACACTTACAGTACTTATGGAGTACCCTTTGTATTAATTGTACAGATATATACACGAGCACGATAGAGAACAGCGAAAAATGCATAAATTCATGGGTTCACTTTCGACTTTTACAGCGCAGTTTCAAGAAGATCGGGGAATAATCAGACTTTTGGTACACAACAATGCATTTAAACGTTTCGTCCACTTTAGTTCGTCATATCTCGGCAACCGGATGTTGCGCGCGCAAACAGTTTTCAGAGCAATGTATATATAAATCAGTTTGCTTTAGAATGACATGAAATATCACTAAAAAGTCATTTGGACTGCGCCAAAGCAAAAGTTGTAGTGTGTATGTATACCATTTTTGGTACCTTGTGCCGGGCCATTTTCCTTAATTTAAGGATCGGTCACTGCGTCGCTCGCCGCGTCGACAGCGCCGACCCGCTACGCTTCCGTCGGGCCACGGTGCTGCAGTGCCTTCCCCACGCGAGCTCTTCTTCATCTCCCTGAACGTGCCGGGATTAGCTACCGCTGCCACCAGAGGCGTGGTCGATCGGTGTCCGTTAACGAGCCGCGGCTGCCCTTCGAAGAAGCACCTCTCCATGCCAGAACCAGAACCAGTGGCATTCTCTACATATATTTTTATATATATATTTTTATATATATATATATATATTTACGAGTTTTTTTTGCTATTTCAACTAGATAATCATGGATGTCATATCGAGTCAAGATGTACATAATTACTCGCCTGGCATCAGGCCGTCGGTAACATTCTGCGCCGCCATTCCCAGCTGTGAGTGGAGTGGCGGACCGTGCGTGTTGGATGCGATTTGCGGCTCCATTCCCAGCTGTGAGTGGAGATGTGCCCCGCTATTTGTCACCTTTCGCATGTGATTTTGTTGGAAATATTTGTCAATTTGGACCTTCAAGGCCAGATGCGGACTAAAGGGCAACTGTCGCCAAAGCTTGACTATTATAATTAACCCACTTGTCTGAAACTTGGCTGTAAAAGGCAGTCAGACTGAGAAGGCGATTCTGCAACAAAATCAGCTTCCTGGCATTTATCCTCCTTTTCAGAATTGTAACTCTGTTAAAATGTATCGTGCGGTCATAACTAGACTAGCCCGGTGTTTTGCGGGACAGGGGGTGCGCCTTGTGGGACGTATTGTCAAGCGATCCCTGGACCAATAGGCAATAGCCAGCACGTCACCACAGCTACATACATCAAAAGTGTATAACAGTATAAAAGTGGACCAAAACAAGAAATCGATGGACAATTACGAAAGATGACTGCAGCAAAATTCACCGCTCGGGAAGGCCTTGTCGTCATTTCCGGTGGCGCTGCAGTCGCTATACTGTTTAACCGGCGCACCCTGTTTAATTTAATCGCTGCCTGGCGCAATTGCCGTGTGCCCTGTCGTTCATTCACCGGCGAGCAGCGGCCTGGTCTCGCTTACTCGTTAGGCACTCTCTCTGAGGTCGATTAGACCCCTTTGCCAAGCTGCTGAAAGGATGGCTGATTTGAGCGATACGTTTCTACGTGAGCGAGAATCGGGATCGGAAATGCAACCAAACGAGATCGAATAAAATCGTATTTTATTAGATCGTAAACCAAAACACAAATCATCAGCGAAAAGACAAAACAGAAAAACACCGAAGTGAAAATCTAATGATCTTTCACTGAGGCCATAAACATCGTAATGAATCGGTGGAATCCGATGAATGGAGATCGGCTGCACAAGAGCGGCTCGGCAGCTCCGATCCGGCGGTCCATCCGAGACCGACGTGAGCTCAGAGCCGAACGCTCTGGCACTGCGTTCGTTCCAGTGACTGCTGCATGCGTACGGTCCGTGGGTTTCGGGTTGCCAGTTTTCAGACACTTTTAATGAAAACCTTTTAACTGATTCTATCCATAAAATAATTCGAACGACTCCCCAAAACTACTGAGTACTTGTTTCTGTAATCTGGTTGTGTTGTTCCCGATGTGATGCCTGATGGTGAGTGGAAATGTGTAATAAAGATCTACCGGAGTACGCGCTGCAAAGCGGTGGAGCGGTGCGAATGTGGGACGATGTGGACGTGCGCCGGCTGGACGTATCCGCACTGATCCGCACGGCCGTCTACGGCATCAGGCAACTGACTGACCATGCGGACAACATTCCTGCTTACTGTGCAAGCCGTTTGCTGAATGATGGCGGTTTCGTATGTTCAGGCCGTTCCACCCACTGTCCCGGGCCTCATCGTTATCCCAGTCTTTGCGGACCCATTCTTTCGGTGGCGAATCCGAATCCGAATTTCTTCTCCTTATCTACAGCTCATGGACAAAACTGGCTACGCGCAGGCAGTTATCGCCGTCAGCTGGCAGCTCCATACAGCGTTCTATGGAGATGCTGACGTGTAGCGCCATGCTGCCACACCGGACACACCCTGTCGCAGCAATGACCACCATTAGGCAACAGTCACCGGGCGAGGGCCTCACTGTACCGTACCCGCTTGGCTCTCACTGGCATGCAGAACGACATCTTGGCACATCTGGATGTCCTTCCTCAGAAAGCACATCCAGATGTGCCAAGATGTCGTTGCAAATCGCCTAACTGAACGATCTGCTGCTGAAGTTGGCTGTCCATACCTGCAGCAACGTTACCAGCAACCTGTCACTCAACAGCGACAAACGCGTTATAGAAGCAATGGACATTTCCGTTACGAACTGGCTGCATATGAGCGGTCATTGCGAAAACGGATGGATAGCAATTATTCCCGGCTGGTTATAGGCCCGCGTATAGCGCTTCGGCGTTGTTCAACATCAGATTTTGGCGTTCGTTGGAAAGTGCACTTTCCAACGAACCCCAAAATCTGATGTTGAACAACGTTATCCACTGGTCTACTTCGCTGTATTAGACTGGAGCATTAGAGCAGAATAAAATTAATCAATCCCAAGGAACCTTTCGGCGGCGGTGAAGGTCACCCGTAAAATTCAGCCAAAATAATTCGTAAACGTCTCTAGACACAAGCAAGCACTCCTTATCCACATCCGCAAGCAGTACAGGCAGAAAACAGAATAAAAAAAATACGCACACATGGAAAGTAACAGTTACACGTTTACAGTGAATATTGTAATAGCGACGGCAGCGTCGGGGCTCCCGCTTTTTTCTTCTGTTGCCCAGTGCAGGCCTGATATGCAGACCAAATGGTGCGCAACTACTTACTGCTTTCATTGTGCAGTGCAGCTGCGTCCGGAAGCTACTGGAGCTCAGCGGCGTAACGACACCGCGTCCCACCACCGGATCGGACTGCAGCCGGAAACGATTCCCGCCGCAAAGGGTCTACTTAACACGTAGTTAACTTAATAAAAACTAATACAAATGGCGTCAGCCGATCTTATTGCACACCGCGGTCGATCATTGACTTCCTCGGAATTAATTTATCAAAAATATTTGTCAAAAATACAGCTGAAATACACCGGTTGTTGTTCGGCTGACTTTTCTATATAAGAAAAATGTTTGTATTGGTTGTTTATGTTTTGGTATTTTGTTATGCGAGCAGTGAAGTCGGACAAACCCGGCACTGGACACTGTAACAGGCAAGCGCGAGGAGATCACGAGTGATGCTTTATTGTACAAATAAAGAAACAATGCTGCGTAATAGCAGGGAATGCGAGAACAAAGCACTGATGGCTAAACAAGCAAGTGATTGCTAGAAAAGCTCTTGAGCGTTCGCCAAGCGTGAAAGAAGCAACTGGCGGCAAGCACGTGCTGTGTGCCATCAGCTGTGTGATGATGCGCAGACTGGACTCAATCCAACGCGAGCGTATGAACGCTGAGTCATACTGCGAGAGAGGAACGAGAGAGCAAGTGTGGCTCAGTGTATGCGCTGCGTATATCCGCTTCAGCGGATATGAGTGCAGTGCAGCAGCACACGTACGTACAGCGAGAGAGGCGATAACGGCAAGCATGAGTGCAAGTACGTCCAGTGTGGACCGTACGCACCAGGCGCAGTCGTACGCCTCTGACATGCCTCTGGCGGGAACTGAGCTCCTGCGAAGGATGCTCCGACTCAGTACCGCACCAGTACCGCACAACTCTCCAGTCGGACCCAATGGGGTCGCTGGTACGCGTCCTCTAGCAGTGGGAGTCCGTCTACGACCGTCCTTCTTCACTTCCAGACCCATGAGTGGAAACCACTCACGGCCGAAAATCCGGAAGCCGCCTGGGCGTTTCTGTTGACCGGTGATGCTTCTGTTGGCTGGCTTCTTGCTTCTGTTGGCAGCGGAGAACAATGTGAAAGAGAAATGTAATGAAAGTTGTATACAG